ATGGCCTGAACGACAACAAAAGGCAAAAATCGCTTGGCATGGAACGTGTTAAAGAATTTCCTTTTTCATATGGAGATATTGCGTATTTCAAATATTTCATTATATTCGTGATGAATGACACAGCATAATTTAAATCATACAGATTATTTTTCTTATTTGTCTGTGACTTTTTCGACCTTACCCGGTTGATTTCTTTTTTTAAAATTTACCGAAAAACAAAAGAAGAAAATTCTGATGAGGACAATACAAGCTGTCATTTTTACAAGATGTATAAATAGAACAAGACGAAACACGTGTTATCAATTTTCTAAAAGTTCTTCAAAATTCACCATCTGATCTTGCCCTGTAAGATCACTTTTAATTTAAATATAATATAAAATGCTTCTCGGCAAAGCTGACGAGTTCTAACTTATGCTTTAATTCAGCCATTAGTGATACGAGATTACTAAACTGCGGATCTTTCACATATTTTTATAAAAATAATTAATGAAATGAAATGAATTTGAGTTCTAGAAGTTAAGTAAAAATTCGTTTTAAATTAATTTCATGATATACCTAAGTCTCATAACGTGTAGTCTTATTAATCACGTTTTGACAGTCATTCCTCTGATACATTTGTTTGCATTAGACAACGTCAATTTATATAAAATGCGTTAATTAATAACAATAATGAGAACTCGTTGCATCTTCCGTTTACGCCCGAACTGTCAGTTTACTCGCTGGTATATAATTAACAATCATTGCAATACCGTAACTACCGTGTTTCTTTAATATTCCCTTTTCAGGCAACTTCAGACTGTTCTGTTGCAAATCGATGAATGAGACGACCTCGTCCGCTCCCGTATCTCCGTCCTCGTCGGCCATACCGGGCCTCTTCATCTGCGATTTATGCTCCCTGAAAATGTCGATGTGAAAGAACGTTTGATCTCGGCTGTGAAACTTCGGTGAGTCCGATTCGAGCTAGATCGGGGCAAGACGAAACGTTCATAGGTTCATAGTCAGGTTAGGTCGGGTCAAGTCGGGTCAGATCAGATCAGGTTAGGTGAGGCGAGGTTAGGTTAGGTTTCACCGCGTTTCTCTCTATTATCTATTATCGAAATTTCGGATGACTGGTCGAACTGCAATTGCAATTCGCGCATACCTCTGAACGTCCGTACGTCTTTAACGTGACCATTTTTCGCCTTGGAGAAAACCCACTTGATCGTACTCGCGAGAAGCTCTCTTTAAATCGGTTCAGTCTCGTAGTTAGGATCGCGTTCGTGTTCGAGCCACTGATTAAAACGTGACACGAACGCGAACGCGACGTTATTGTGTCTTTTTCCTTTGGCTCTGGTTAAACGCGAAGAATTTTGACAAAATGTACACGCGTATTTTTACTTTTTTTTCTTGTTTTCGTTCGCAAGTGTATGTACAGGGTGGGCCATTTAAGGGTGATCCCTCGAATGTCTATCGTGATGGCGTGAAATGTATTTGAATGGTGTTAGGGAGGCCAATATCTCACAAGAGTCATATTTTTCAAAGATCCGTTTTTTTTCAACGTTTTTCATTTGCATTACATTGGGTCAAGTTTCTGGCGTCACTGATGGACAATTTTAATCTTGATATTCGACATTCAAAGTTAAAATTTATATTTCAAGATTATATATTAATATTCATTGTCTTTATATTTTATTAATATTTGGACACTGCGATGTTTCAAAAATTATTGCTCCAAATTGTTTGTTTATTAGTAGTATTATTGAATTACTTTTTCTTAATATCTTAAAATAATTACTTTAATTAATCGGAACATAAATTTCATTTATTTAATGCACATAGTTCAGTCAAATAATGATGAAATTTGCAAAAAGTTCCAATAATGACAAAGATATTCTAATTTTATGTAAAATATATTTATATTATTTAAAATATACGATTTTGAATTTCGCCAGTATTTAATTTATTATTTTTCTTATGTTATGCGAACAAATGAATAAAATTTATATTTCTACTAATTCGAATAAGTTAAAAAAACAATTAATTCAGTAATACCGTCATAATATCCGAATATTAATAACAGTTTTAATATTAATACTAGAATAAATATGAAAATAAAATAAGAATCCTCGATCTACAAAAAAAAAAAAAAACATCAACTTTGAAAAAGGAAAAGAAACAAACTCCTTTGAGAAAGAAACTCTTGTCAATTCCATCAGCCCTTTCGACACTATTCAAATTACGTAGAAAATATTCTTGCATTATCACGATAGAAAAAGATATCTGGGGATATCGCACTTAAATGGACCACCTTTGCAGTTTGATTCTTTTTTCATAGATGTATCGAATCCAAGCATGCTCGATCGTTTAGTGTAACTAACAAGTGAAACGATATATCGGGATTCTATGTTTGATCCTTTGCTCGACAAACGGTATTTCTCTTTTTTATCTTTTTTTTTTTTTTTTCTTTTCTTTTCTTTTGAAACGATTAAATAGCTGCAGTCGGGGCGTTCTACGTAAACTATGCGTGTGCTAAGAAAATAACGGTATGGAAACATGCTCGGTGTATCAAGTATATATATATATATATATATATATATATATATATACGAGCATGTGTGTGTAATTTGCAAAGGTGATTCGTTCTAACGAACTCGGATGGAAGTCCGACGATGATTGTGCGGCGCATTCGAAAGGAAAAGCATGCAGTGCAAACGTGAGAAGGCATGACCGTGTAATATATATTTCTATCGCATGCAGAGTTTTACTTTCTTCTACTCGAGACGAGCACAACGTGCGTGTCCGGGGGAATATGATCGAATAGACGATGGATCAGGCGTTGCTGAAATCAAAAGCGTGTCACAACGTACTATGTGTGTGGATCGTCGACTGTACGCACATGGAAATTATTGTAATAATCGCGTTGGAACTAAAGTTCCCTATTACTATATTTAAATACACGCGCATTTAGCACACCCGTGTCTTAATCCCTGTAGTTTTTAATATATACACACATATGTACATGTAATGTATGTATATATGTATGTAAAATATACTTGATGTAAATGTACATTAAAACAAGATATTAGTCTCTCTATCTCTACGTCTATAATGTGCTTTAATATTATAAAATGAATTGTACAAAAGAACTTGTAAGAATGAAAAAGAGTATCCTTCAAAGTTAAATTATTTCAATATTAGAGCACATAGATAGGCACACTGATATGTAGTGATTAACATATTCAAGTGCGATTATTAATTCCCGAAACAAGCAACGTTGATCATATCAACGCTTTTCAACTAACAACAGAAACTGACCACCTGCTGTCGATATTAATTTATTTTAAAATATTAAAGTACGCGACTAAGCCTGCCTTTATTTTTACCTACAATTTATAATTAATAATTATACAAAGTAAAACTTGAATATGTTGCCGCATTTTTGTATCACAGGTATATTTCGATACAGGTATATTTGCATAAGTATTAAAAATTACACGGATTTGAACACGGACATATTCATTGCACGTGTATCTTTTAATACACTCTGGACATCATGACCTCTCTAGTTAGAACAGATTTCGCACCGTTTTCCAATGAAGTACGGGAATAATTGACTATCGTGACAAAAACATAACGGAACGAAAAATTGAGTGGTCTTGTTGCACAAGTTCCTACGTCGGACGAATACGGACTTGATCTACTTAACACTTTCAAGGCGGGCCTACTAACACTTTTGTTTCAATACGAAATTTTCTTGTTTAAGGCAAACTAACGAACTTTACAGGTTGCCTTTCGAACATTACCGTAAATGTACTTAATAGATATATCTCTTTATACATATATAAAGAATTTTGAAATGCAAAATTACACGCGCAGTGTAATATGCAAAAATGCGTAAGACATCTAAAGTATAGTGCTTTCTACAATATTTAGTCTCGAGATTCTATTTCTTTCAGAGATTCGAATTTGCATAAAAGTCCGCGGTCTATCGATAAACTTTGAAACTTAATTCTCTTGGAAACGAAAATTTCATTTTCGTCGAGATCATATTCGAAATCGATCTTCTCAAATATAAAGTATCTTGTAACAACATTTTACTCTACATTTTGTACCTTCTCTTCTGGTTGTACCATAAGAACTGTGACAGAACATGTATGATAACATACAAATATAAAATGATCAATTATAAAAATATAATAAAAATAACATGTAAACATGAAATATAAACTATACATTTATTGTCGTTTCAGAGATCGTAAATTATATTCGCGAATATCATAAACTTTCCGCGAAACTTCTCCACCGAGAAAGTGTTGAAATCATCGTTAGAAAGATACGCCCATCTCGAACGTTGTAGAAAATTTGGGTCAAATGCATCGTGCCGTTATGCGATATTAAACACATGTTCAGTTATGAAAATTTAAAGGAAATGAAAAGAAGAACGAAAGAAAGTGTCCGACAAACGAAAAGAGCTGTCCCTTCATTGTCTCTTTGTGTTTGCTCTCTTGATAAATCAGTACAAAATGTATCGCTACTGCTGCATTCCTAATCGGTGCTGTTCAAAAAAAAAAAAAAAAAAAAAAAAAACAATGTCACGTTCACAAATTTATCTTACGTATCCGTGTGTATAATCACAGGTGTATCACTGCACGCATATGTACGTAACATGTAAAGTGTATGTGTGTGTGTGTGTGTGTGTGTGTGTGAGAGACTGAAAAATGTGTTTGCCCCTGCTCGCGAAAGATATTCTGCCAAACGAGCTGGACGAAAATTGACAACTCGCAAGCGATATCTTTCAACGTGCTGATGTGGCAACATCATTTGCGACTCATTCCGCGAGCGGAGCTTGTTTCTGCTCGATTCGATAGGGTGAAACGAGGCAGGACAGTGAAACAGGATTCACCGAATTTGCTGGTTACGTTCTCTCTAGATTCGTATTTAGATTGTCGTTCACTTAACGATTCATTTATGAATTATATCAAATACCAACGTATGTATATCTTACGTATATTATAATTCAAACGTTCATTTTCTCCCTACATTCGTTGAAACATGTACCAATACTTAGGTTCGATACATTATTCTGTATAAATAACTTTTAGCACAATTCTACTGAAAAAGTGATATTTTCGTTACGATTGACAAATTGTTACTGTTTTTACATTGTTAATTCGTTTTTGATAAACAGCTTCATAAAGTCTGTATAAATTTTCCCAATATGAAATATTGGAGATACATGTTCGCTCTAATTTTCCAATCTCTAACGTTTCTAAAATTTCAACAATGAATGAACATGCTTGAGAGTCACTCTGCAGAGTCTTCAGTCGTTTAATTATTATGTTTACTTATTCTTTTTATCAATATCTATTAACTGTATACGTTAAGATTCATTTGCAATAATTAAGTGTCCAAATACTTGTGCTTTGTCGTATAGAATATATGTAGATCACTATCGACGAATCGATTTAGAAGAAACTTTGTATCGAAAGTCAGAATCCTCTTCTAATTGGTGAGAAAAATTCGTAAGCGAAGTTCATGATAAAAATGATTTTTGAAGTAGATAAAAACATTAATTAATGTGTAATTGAAGTTCGTATGGTAGACGCATGTGTTTCAATATATCAAATTAAAAGAAAAAAAAAAAAAGAAACGATAATATGGAGATAAACTGATACTGATGCATGAAATCTAATTCTTTTCATGAAATTTAAATTGTTGTTGTTCTTGTGAATTTAATGCATCGATTAACAGGTGAATTAAGGAACTATGAAAATTATTGTAATATAAATTATTATAAAAAATTATATTTATATATTCATATTTTATATTTATATATAATTACATATAATATAAATATAATTTTATAAATATATATAAATTACGTACATTTTATTAATATATATAAAATTACGTGAAAAATTGAGAAATTATTATTCGAAATAAAGGCTGAATAAAATCTGTCAAAATTGAGGAACTTTTCTCAGATTGCATTTTTATAATCTATACCTTACTAAACTACATCTCACTATACATGTCTTTACGTCGCAGATGATTATTCTACTGTAATAATTTGCTTAGGCATAAAAACGAAATTAAAAGTGAAAAATGCATTTCTCGGGATTTGAAAAATGTGATTCCAAAGAGCTCCGAATTTAGGTTAGAAACATAGAGTTAAAGTTAGGTTCAGGTTAGGTTAGGACCAGAATTTGAGAGGTGGAGATAGCTCAGTCGGTAGAGCATCAGATTCTTAATCCTGAAAGTCCAGGGTTCGAACCCCTATTCGGGCAGAAAAAAAGATATTGTCCTTTAGGACAACAGCATGAGAAGAGCTCTGTGTGTATAAAAAGGTCCCAGAGCTCTCCCAACGTGCGGAGGACGGCCATCGTGGAGGTTTTAGTATCGGTAAAAATCCGACACTACCTGGGTCTTCCCTTAAAAGACTCGGGTGTCTTATCGAAGATTTCCTCCACGTAAAAACAAAAAAAAGGACCAGGATTTGAACACTACGTGCGTTGCGCATTTAGTCACTGCGATACTATAAATCCTGAATGTCGATAGACGTATATCGCTAAATGTATGTACGTTTCAACATGTGTAGGGACCTTCACGATGTGCGACAAGTAGCATTAACAGGGAAACGAGTTTATTTGCCGCTGATGTTAAGTGAGCGACAACCTTTCAGAAGCTGACCTGCCACGTTAACGACTAGCGTGTGTTCGAGTTCTTGAGATCATCGATCAACTATATGGTGACATAACGGCGAGACACATGAGACTTACTTGACTCTTGGCCCGTCTGCGGTGGCGACGCTATTCGGGGGTCGAAACACCACGCGCTGGGTCTCGCCGCGGCTAGAAATATACTAATATAGGCATGCCGCGGGTATTTCACCACGAGTTTTAACCCCTTGTGGTCGAATTCCACGCGATTCCATTTTCCCAACTACGATCTTTTTTTCTATTATCTACTTTGATTACTAGAAGCAGAAAGAGAGAGAGAGAGAGAGAGAGGAGGGAGGGAGGGAGGAGCTTGTCTTGACAGAAATTTTCAACGAAGAGTTGTTTTCTGGAATTTAGCGAAACGAAATGACCACAAAGGGTTAAAGGCAGAGGTTGAAACGGTTCCGTGTAGAATTATTGACAATTGTTGCATGAAGGATGTTCTAATTGAAACTGTTTTTTAAGGGATTGAAATAATCTTGAAACAATTATGAGTGAAAGAGATTCGATTTCGCTTTTGGTTTTATAATAGCTTGGCATTGGTAATGTAGTTTTGTAACAGTAATAAATATTTATCATTGCATATTTCACTTTATATCTTTAAGCCTCTTTATTTGAATCACAAGTATAAACGAATAAAGAGCTGCTTTATGGTTATGCATAGAGTTTAAATTTACCGCATTTGCACAGACGCACAAGTCATACATTTAAGAATTAATAATATGGAACGTAATTTTTGCTTTTAAGATCAATAAATTATAATTTTCAGTGCTTTCTGTTGGTGAGTAAAATGCTAAATTTTATTCAAAAGACATATTTCACTGCTAGGAATATAATAGATAGTTGTTGATAATATGTTAATTATGCGTGTAGATTAGAATCGTAAAAGATGGCAAGATAATTACGTTCGAAATTAATGAACACTCAAGTGTCATTTTTATTAATGATTAAACAAATCGATAGACAATTATATATTTTGTATCCCATTAACGAACCGATTATTATTTAATATAATCATAAATATTATCTGATATTAACTGAACATAAGTCAGAATCTTTTTTACTCATAACTTGTTACAACATCATTTCGTTTTTTTATAACAGTTTCGCGAACCGAAACCACTGTTACAACCATTTTCAACCCCTGATTAAAGGTGTGCTAGTCAACGGTGTCGGTGTTCTCGGTTTCTCATCGACGAGTCGTCTTCATTTTCGTATCGTTCGCGTGATTTTTTGTTTCCTTTCACCTTCTTACGTTTAACGTAAGATAGAGAAAGGAATAATACAAGAAGTCGGATGAGACAGATGAATTTTTTTCGAGATCGAACAGAGCTATCGAACCTCAGACGAAGTTATCTACATCATCCTCTTGCGATGAATAAACTTATCGAGATAAATGACTTGCCTTCAGAGAACTGAACGTTAATCGTGCGTTTATGCAGTGAAATCGAGAAATTTGAAATCGAAAATTGGAGTTGATCGGTTTGACTTTTGAGAAAATTTAATTGCACGCTCTGGAATACACGATTTTAATACAAACTTTATTTACATAAATTCGTAGAATATCAATTTTAAACTTTCTTTCGAAAGTCGCTGTTCCAGGCTGTTTCTACGATAAGATGGAAATCTTCGACCTTCCCAAAGAAACGAGATGAATTTCAAATCGACAGAGAGAAGATGGCTCGTCGTGGAAATTTCGCGACACGTGGAACGCGATCACGTATTTCAGTGCTGGGTAAAATGGTATTTGAAATAAAAGACCACTTCCTAGGCAGTTACGTCAATTGTCCCATTTTCATATTGATAAGAATATTATGTGAAATATTTATATACTCATTGTGTACATTCTTCAGGATGAACTTGAAATAAGTATTTGAAACAGATATTTCATAGAATTTTGAACATTCGAAGGGCAACAATATGTCTTTCACAATGATAATGTGCGCAGACTATTATTTATATTTAACATATCAATTCCATCGTTAGTTTCAGTAGAAAAAAAATTGTGTAATTATATTATTGAAGACATCTACTCAAAATACGTAAATATTCGTACTTTTCCTTCTGAGATAGCAGCCACGGACAATGATATTCGAAACGATCGAATGCGAGTTTAACAGCACTATTTTAAACGATTTGCATAATTATTATTTCAATCAATGTAATTCGTATGTTTTAAATAAATATTGCACGCATCACTGTATCAAATTACGACACAAATTTTCAAATACCATTTTACTTCAATGAAAGCATTTTAAATATACGTTTTAGTTGAAATGTAATCCAGGACTGCAACGTGCATCGAGATAAATCGGTGTCTCTCGTGGAAATTCTTCCCGCTTTGCGTCTATGAGAAAAAGCAACGCGAACCGAATCGCCGTCGAATGATATTGTTGATGTCGAATGAATATCCGGTGTGATATGAGTTCGTGTGACGCAAACATTAATGGAAAATCAATGTATAAGTAGAAGCGAGATGTGTCTTTGGCGATCGTTGATGGATCCTTTTAAACACTAGTTGCAGGGGTCTTCCCTAGATTATCTCTTGTAAAAGCGTACTCCAACTCGTACTCCCAAATGATTTCCAAACTTTCACTCTTGTGTTCAGCTTAGAATTGTTGGAAGCCTGTCTCTCGTTTGTTTTGCCACTCTTTTATGTTTCATTGTTTGTAGACTGAGGATTTTTATGTATTTATGGGACACTGGAAGAGTGCAGAGTGCACAGAAAAATATGGATATAAAATATCCAAAGTAGAATATTTGTCATGATGTATATAATAAATGTAGAATAAATTTCTACTTTTTTGTTTGTATTTATAAAAGTTGAAAAATGCATAAAAATATCTGCAATATAATAATAATTGGACTGTAGATACTCGAGCAATTTCATACTTTTTCGTGAATATTAAAAAATTGCAATCTGGACTGCAAAGCAGGAATTTGTTTCTTTTTTTGCTATCAAATATTGCGACAAGTCTGCTTTTGATATTTTCGCACATTCTGTGTATTTCTGCGTTCTCAGATTTTTCTCTTTCCAATCTTATTGTCATTTTTAAATCGCAGATTTTTATGATTTATAGGAAATTTTCAAGTACAAAGTTGCACAGATGAGCGTAGTATGAAAGGATGTAAAGGGTTTATTTGAAAGTTACAAGTTTATATATCTTGAGAATAATTTTGAGAAAAATATTGAATACCAGAGAGTTTCGAGAGTATTTAAAAAAATTTCTCTATAAAATTTCCAAATGTACACTCCTTTCTGCACCGTTTGATACGTAAAACAATTTCCCATCAAGATTAATTTGAAATTTTTATCCGATAGAATTTTACTATTAAGACTCTCTGCCGCGGTGAATATAAAATACAAACATTACACGAAATCTAGCAATCTAACGTAAATTGCATGACCCAAAGATGCAACTAGATCACAGTTTCAAGACTATAATGATTTTGTATGAAAAATCCGCAGTCTGAGGTATAATGAAAGCTAATAAACTGAGAAACAGGTTTGCAACATCCAAATGAACGTTGATAGGGCCTGCCGCGCGTGTAACATGTAAATTCCATCTTCGGAGGATGGATCGGGCCGAGATCGGATGATCTCGGGACCGCGGTGTTCCCAAATCGATCGAATCCCGAAAGAAAATCTAACGCGAATGTATATATATGTTTGTGCGCGTGTGCGCGCGCGCGCGTGTGTGTGTGTGTGTGTGTGTATGTCTGTTGATAGATTGTAGAGTGTGCCTCTCTAGCCTGGCGCTCTAGACTTGTGTTAGCTGGATAGGCAACGAAACAATCGTCGTACCTGACATTCGGCATACTGTTAAAGGTGAGGATCTTGCTGTTGACATTGTCCAGGACCGCGTGTCCCGGATGATGGTTTCCGGAGACGCCGGAAACCATGTAACTCCTCTGCGGCGGTTTCTTCACGTACGGTTGGTCGTACTTCTGGACGGTGCTCTTCCTTCTGCGAGAAATTCGCCGATTACGAGGATGCGAGGCTCGCGTGATTAGGAAAACCACAAAGAACGATTAGGAAGCGCATGCAGATCTACGGAGGAGGAGAGACCTTGAACGAGTTTCTTTTTTCCGTCCGTTTATTCCTTCCGTGGTGACGATGATCGAGAATCATCGATGATGATTTCACGTGTGTGTTAAAATTAGAAATTACGGCTTCGAACGTACACTAAAATACACGTATGTACGATACATGTGTTAAGAAATTAAGGATTCATGTTCTTAATACGTTGTACATATTTGTTTGTACACATTGTACACCAAGGAATTAATCAATTTTATTCATTTATGTGGCATCGTGCCATTCTAATGGCTAGATCTCAATGTGTTTGTCACATTAGGGATTTCGAAGCATGTTTCTGCTTTTCTGTACGCGAATTCTCAAATCCGCAATTCGAATTTGAGCATATATCTCATGTACATGCGTTTAACGTGCATGTGCCTCTAATTTGAAATTTGCATTGCAATTAAATTTGATAGTATAAAGAAGACAGTGCTGGAAAACAGTTTACATGCATACATCTTTTAGTTGTTGTTGAAATTGTAGAACTATTATAGTATCCTTTGGCCACTTGAAATATACCGATAAATTTTAGTCAAAAAGAATATTGGAACATTCTCATTGCATAAGATCATGGATCCTTAATTCTTTAATACACAGTTCACGTATCACGTGTGCAGATTTCTATTTTAATACATGCCCAAAATCACGATCTTTGATCGTTGATCGTTCAATGTTTCCAAATGTCTCGACCGAATGGAAAGGAATTATTAGTTGATTCCCTTTGAAGATATAACTGATCAAGTGCGTGCTTTCGATATTCTACCATAATATGCACAGAGTTTAAACGTATATATATATTATCAATAGATTCGTATCGACTCGCGTATGAATAGCAGTATTATTAGATTATATGAATATTAGATCATCCCATAAATAATGCGATCGTTACTGGTGATGATTCGAAGTAATTGAATACTGTGAAAGTACGAATCGCTTTGAATATAATTAGATATCTGAAAACTCTTGTAAGTTTTTGAAAAAAAAGAAAAAAACTTGAATACTATTTATCAAAACGTTTCAAGATTCGAGATTATTCAAGATACTTTCAAGGCTTTAAATATCGAATCGTATTCGGATGCGATTTTTTCTTTTTATCACATATATATTTACATATGTATCCGAGATATTTTATAGTGTGATAATATATTAAACGAAAGTAGAAAAATTTACTTATCAATAATCGATCATCATTTCATTTACGATTCTCTACTTTTATTTTCTGTTATTATTGAATTTTCTATTCGAATTTTATAAAAATTCAATAATAACAACTTTTGATGACTCTTGGAAAAGTCGCACTGTCTGTGAAACGATCCAATAAAAAAATTGAAGCAGGCGGTTGCTTGACAATTTTATATATATATCGAACATTTTATATATATATATACACACACACGTTTAGTCCCTAGCATTTTTATTTTTATTTTATATCACAATGAAATGGTGGCTAGCAAAGCTGGCGCGTCTACGGGAGCGGTGATATATCATGCATTGGAACAAAAACAGATAACCAGTCGAATGGTACACCGGCAGCTGGCTTTACAGCCATTCGTGTGACATGGTCCTCCACTGCAGTACCCATCAACCAAATACTCAAAAATCAAACGATAAAGTAGACAGACAAAGTATTCTTTGAACACGCGTTTGCGTTCCATGGGGGTGAAGACGCTTTGCTTTGAAGATTTCGTTGGGAAAAAACGATTAAAGATGTAACGCTTCGTTAGATCAATCGCGATCACCCTGCTGTAACGCGGTGGCAACCTTTAACCGATACCAATACGTTCAGATCATTCTGGTTTTTCTATTCGTTTACTCTTCCCACGTTATATTTGATTTCGGTTAAACTTTACTCGGGGCCATGGCAATGACCCTTTTTTCCCATCATCTGGTATTGAATCTTAAAACATAGGTTTTGAGATTAGGAAGCCACTGTATAGTAATATCTGTATGTATATGTATATTGGTGAAAGATATTAGATTCTATTAATTAAGCAACGTGTAGGTGTAAAAGTGATATCTTCATGAATGAATATGTTTTTGTGAAATGTCAGGCAAATGTCAATAGTTTTATAAATGTATCAAACAGATTTTAATATTTTTGATACTTATCATGAAATACCGATCTGATTATTAATTATTAATATTTGGTAAGATAGAGACGTAGAAAGAAAATATTTGGCATATACGGTCGTTACGTACAAAAATATTTTGATTCTGAAATTTTTGAATCGAACTAATGAATAAAAGCCAACATGACCTATAAAATAAGCTAGAAACTCAGTTTCATTAAGCATAATTTTCGAAGCAAAAAATTCTTAAATTTTCGGCTTCGACTCGTCAAAACTCACCAGACGATAAAAAAATGTATTTTTTTTGATATCTCAAAATAAAGTTCATCCCTCCTTTTTATCGATCGAAGTTGATTGTTGCTGTTCGTCAAGGATATCAGTTAATGGTCACGAAACACAAAAGCCATTAGTTTACTTGCAGACTTGCAGACGAGTAAATAATATACGTGAAGTAGCCAATTTTGCAAAAGCGATTGAAAATGAACCTAAGTGGTTGGCAGCAAACGCGAATTCGCCGACAATCGCTTAAGCTGCTTAGCATAGTCGTAGCAACGATCAGTTACGTACGCGTAGTATGCGATGGGCGTGTTCTCGAATAAGACAATACAATAGTCGATTCTTCTCAAAAATAAGATAAAAAAATGAAAAAAAAAAAAAAATAACGAATTTACAAATTAAAAATTTTGGAATAATAATTTGATTTATATCTCTTACTTATAATTGATAGGTTTTTCGTCGTTCACGGTGGAAAATTTTAATTATTATTTTCATTTTTCTCACTAAAACCACTTGAGAAATTAAATATACAGCTTCAAATGATTATATAGTAATGAAAGAATTATTTCATTATTTATTATTCTTGTTCAATCAATGGCATATCCTTTATTTTACAATTTATCGATTGCAAAATTTTTCGTATTATTACCGAAATTTTTTCAACAACTGTTGAAATTGCAGATTTTCAAATAATTCGATACGTATCAAGTTATGAAAAAAATTTTCAACTTGCAAATTTGTTTCTGTTCCTTCAGTTTTTGCTCCATTTTTGAGAAGAATGTCATCCACTGTGCGACACCACGTAAAAATCCACGTAAAGATCTCTTCAATAACAATTTGCTCGTTAGTTTTAAATGTAATATCATCTGTTCGTTGCGACGAGTGTAACTTGTCCGCGCGATCGCACAAGCCTGGCGTATCGAACATGTTCGATACCATCGCGATACTTATTGCAGATTATTACAGATTATGCAGAGCGCCTGATCGGTACCATAAAAAAAAAAGATACATCGATAAGAAGGAGAAAAATAGACAGAGAAAGAGAGTGAGAGAGAAGGGGAGAGAGAGACAAGGTGTTACAGAGAGAATAGATTAAGCATTGTATAGTAAAAGAGAAAGACAGTAATAAGTACGGACTCTAAAAGATATACATGTAAATATATATGTACGA